CTCCATGGCTCTGTCTTTTCCCCGATGTCATAAAACTTGTGTATATTGAAGGTATAAATGTAGTTTTTATGGGACTCGTATGCATAGTGGAAAAGACTCCTATAATGAAGTAAATTAACACATCACCATCTAACAAAGAGAACCACTTTGTTTTTGTGGCAGTGGCTGAAATACTGCAGTAGGAATACCAAGCACAGCACCACTGTATTATCCTCACGTTGTGTATTAGATCTGTAGACTTGTGCATCTTATGTGTGTGCTGCTTTGTGTCCTCACACTCACATCTCCACGTTTCCTTCCACTCCCCGACTCTCCGCCCCTGTTAACTACAGTTTTATTCCCTTTCTCAAGTGCATTCTCTGGAAGCCTCCCACTGATGTCCCTAATATGCTGCGGCATGTAGAAGTGACCCGGAAGATTTGGTTCCACTCAGGACCATAGGGTTGGTCATGGACTGTAACAGGCTACGCAGCTAGTTTCAGATCCTTAATGTTTCAGAATAAAATACAGAAGTAAATCAGAATATCTATGGCAGAGTACATAGATACAGATATAGATAGATATACAGACAGATACAGATATAGATACTGGTGTATGAAATCCACCCAGGACAGCTCCTGTCTTGTAAGCAGACTTGTTCTCTCTGAAATCTGGACACACCTTACATCAGTCGTGTCTGAATAGTGTCTTAGCATATATTCTGCAGCCGCTTTTCACTCTTATAAAATTTAAAATAAGTGGAATCTTCGCTCCGCTGTCTTCTGAGATAGATGGGCTTCCTCCTTTCTCCTCTCTTCTGTGTTAGGTAGGTAGCATTTTCGTCTGTTCCGTTCTTCCCTCTCTGTCTTTCAAGGACATTAAGCGGTCAGAGTGGATGGGACAGTCTCTGAGACCTTGTAGCTGGGGCTCACCCGAGCCCGCAGGTAGTCTCCTCTTTGCAGCAGCACAGTGCACCTGGATTTTTAAAAATCCTGCACCTGGTGCTGATGCAGTCTCACTCCGGTGGGCCCTTGTCCCGCTGGGGGTCAGTCTTGCTGAGGTCCCTGACGGCTGGGATGCTCTGCTTTTCTCTCTTAGGCTGATAGCTGGGCTCCGGGGGCCAGTGAGTCTTTTCTCCGTGGGTGGCACAGCCACGTCCTCCTTCCCGGGGTAATATCGAGCCTCTTAGGCTCAGCAGTGTGGGTTGGTGCTGGAGAGTGAGCTAAGAGCTGCGCTGGGGCTGAAGCCGGGGGCCGCCATTGAGGGTCAGCGGCTCTTCCCGGGTGCAGGACCAGGCACCGTGTGAGACCCAGCGGATGGGGTTGGGGAGACTCTCAGTGCCGGGCCAGGCAGTTCATCTGTGCCGGGGATGGGTTCTCCTTTGTGCTGTCACTGTGTCCGAAATCGCAGCTTGTGATCCCATAGGCCCTGCGCTCCACACAGCCCAGCTGCCCTCGGTCCTCTCCGTGCTCCAAAAGCTCCTTTCCAGCTTCCCTGCGTGGAGCAACCTCTGACTCACCCAAGGGCTTGGGAAACCAGATCTTGCTGCGGTCCCCCTCCGCATACTTGGCTGCCAGGTGTGTGATGACAGTGTGTCTCCTGCAGGGGTGTGCCCACTTCACCTCTCCCACAGGAGCGCTGGGCGTCTCCAGGTGCTCTCCTCCTGCCCACCCCCAGCGACACAGAGGACCTGAGCTAAATTTCCCACAGCATCCCCCTGTGCAGGGGTGAGGCTCAGGCCCCTTTCTCACCAAGAGCAAGCTCAGGTCCTCGCTGGCTGGGTGGAAGGGGACCCGGCAGCTGAGGAGGTCAGCTCCTGAAGGGACTAAGTGGCTGGGTGCGGTCTGGTGTCCTCAAGCTTTGGCAGATACATTGTGCCTTCCAGCCGCCAAGCGGGGGAAATGTAGGTTTGGCCATTTCCAACTTATTCAACATGGAAATTTTCAAATACACACAGAAGCGGAGAGAGGAGTGGAACGGGTCCCTGCGGCTCCACCTCACCTTGCCAGTACTTGCCAGCTGCACGGTGGCACCACGCCCGGCACTCATTCTGTGCGCTGACGTCTGTGTGCATCAGGGTGGCCCGGGCGGTAAACTGCTGATGCTGTAGCCACTTGGGGCCTTGGCTGTCTGTGCCACTCACGTTTCAGAGGGACCTCGTTTCACGATGCGGAGAGTTCTTTTTAGGTTCGGTATTTTGCAGCAAGGCCTTTATTCAAACCCATTGCATCTCCAGCTGTTAGGTTCAGAACAGAAAAGCAGTATTAACGCAAAGCAAGCTATTACCCAAGTCCCCTTTTATATGACTTATTGATAAAATCAACTTGCTTATGGGGAAGAACCATTGAGCTTCCATCGTGAACACTGAGATTCGGGTGTTGGAGCAGCTGCAGTGCGGCTACCCCAGGTACCTTAGGGCTCTGCTGGGATGAACAGCGTTCAGAATGGTGGCGCTGTGCAGGTAAGCCGTTGCTCATGGCAACGGTTTTCAATCTTGTTTCTAACCTGTTCCTCTTGTGATCCTGAGAGTCTCTTCAATTAAATGGATCTAAGTGCTCAGAGGAAAAGCTTGCAGGAACTTTTCCCCCCCAGAATTAAAACAAAAACCAAAATCTTATGGGGTGAATCATTTCCAGGAGATTCAGATGCAAGTACATTCACAGCAGATTTGACTTTGACCCAAAAGGAAGCAAAACAGGCCACATTATTTAATACGCAAGTAGTTTCTAAAGACTTCAAATTTTGTTTGCAGTCATTTGAGTATACATTGATTTTTGTTGCCATTTTCAGATACAAAGAAAATAATATATTGGAATTGAACCTTTGCAGAAATCCTCAATCTCAGGATTCAAGAGGACCTCATTTGAAAATTGTGGCTCTTGCCTGGGTGAGGTGGTGAAAGTTTGCATTTCCCTGTCCTGTGCCACCGCTGCTGAAGATGTGGCACAGTCAGAAAGAGACCACGGTCCAGCAGGGAATGTTTACGTCCTGATACACCTCCCTGAGGCTTCCCCTCCGAGCGCTTGGACTAAGAGGGCAGATACATCCTTCACGGCCTTGCACACTGCCCTGCCCCTTAATGATGACTTAGCCTCCCTCCCGTCAAGCTTCATCACATTTCTGTTCCTGTAGACTTTTTTCCTCTTGAGTTTCTGCTTGCTTTTTTTTATTATATTTTTGGCAAATGTGTCTTTTATCAAATTTACAGTTTTTTTCAGTCTGTTATTTCATCTCTCTCACTCTGTATCTCCATCCTCTCCCGGAGACCCTGATACACCCCTCCCTCTCTTGTTGCGCCCACCTTTTCAGCCTAGTCCACCCATCATCAGGCAATCACTGCCCCCATCTCTAGGCTGAGTCTAAACGTTTACCTGTTTCTCAGTTTTCAGCCTCATTTTTCTGAAGCTCATCAAGGACGTGTCCATGAGAAACGAGCTCCCTGAGGCCTGAACGCCCTTCTTTGCTCTCCTGCTTGAATGGTTTTCCGATCTAGAAAATCTTGCTGTATGTTTTTGTTGGTTTCCTCCCTCCCACTCGCTCTGCTGCCTCCTGACGGAGCCTGTGTTGGGGACGTGAGCTCTCCCGGCCTTGTCCTTTGTGATCTGTTTGTCATCTCTGCGGTTTTTACCAACTCAGCCTCCCACCGTTACAGAAGGTTATTTCCTCAGCCATGGTTTGAGGTTCCATACTGCTTGGTTTTTGTAACTACTATCCCCCCTTGAAGTGGGGGCAGCATGATACTGTGTTAAGAAGTGATTTTCCATTCTTTTTGTGGGCAGTTCCTCATCGCATCTTTTTAAAATGTCTGTCTTTGATTGTGCGCCTCATGACAAAGACCAATCACAAGTATCTTGTGATTCTGGGCTTTCCACTGAGAGACCTTGGGCACAGGAAAAGGTGACCGAGGCTGTCCATGGGCAGCCCTACCCAGGCTTCCCAGGCCCCAAAAGGAGAGGAACTTTATCCTCACAGTGAGCGCCCTGACCTGCTGTCTAGGGTGCATGAAGACGTTTGTTTTATTGACACGTGTGGCTGTATGTTAAGGGTACCTGGAATTTGTTTTAATTGCATATGACAGACATGCAGACACAGAAAAGACTGTCGTGGAAGAAGTTTTTATTCAGAGTCCCTCAAAGAGTCGCAGAACTCCGTGCAGGGGCGAAGGGGAAGCCCTGGACTGGGCCTGCTCAGGGGCCATGTGGGAGAGTGTGGGCAAGAGCCTTCGTTGTGGTTCCGGGAAGGAACTGGCCAGGCAGGCAGTGAGCAGTTTGTGATCCCCTAAGGTGAACGCTTCAGCAAGCTCTGGAGTGTGGAGGTTGTTCTTGAGGACTTTAGGGCAGGTGGTTAGTGACCCTAAGGGCCAGAGTCCAGAGCAGGTGTTGGGGCCAGGGCGTAGGCTGACTGATTTGCGTGTGAAGGAGCTGCTTACTCTGTTTAGGAACTAAGCCCAGGAGGGAGGGGCAGTCTCTAGGTTCACCAGGCCTCAAAGCATCAGGTTATAAAAACTACAGGGTTAAAGACATGGTTAGGATGAGCTGTTAGTTTTAATTACTTTTTCTTTCTGGTGTGTGTCTGTTCTTGTTTTATCCACGTTGTAAGGCCTGGCTGCAAGAGGTTTGAACTTGGGCAGAAGAAGGGGCCGGGATGCTTTCATCTAACATTGCCAGTTAACTTGCTGTCTTCGCCCACCTCCCTGTCATCGCTGACTGTGGCCGCCTCAGGGTCGGTCCTGATGCTCAGCCCTGTCCTGCTGCTGCAGTGTCTGTCATTGAGGATGCAGTTGCGACCACTAGTCGCGAGTTGAGCCCCATTCAGGAGCCTGGATCCAGAATCCCAGCCTCATGGGGCTCGCAGGGTGGCTGTGTGCTCCTGCCCACTTCTCGGACCAGTTGTGGGGTACCTAGGTCCCAACAGGAGCCCCTGCAAAGGTGCTGCCATTCCGACCACAGCCACAACAGATCTGAGTGCCTGAGACATCCACAGCCTTGTAACCCTGACTCACAAGATCCTTCTGTTTCTAGCGCTGACGAGCGGTTTGATGCCACGTTCCACACCAACGTCCTGGTGAATTCTTCTGGCCATTGCCAGTACCTGCCCCCAGGTAAGAGCCACTCCCTGTGTCTCCTTCCGTTAGAAGCTTAAAGGGAAGATGAGTGTCAGTCCCTGAGGCCGGCCAGCTCGGTACTGTGTGCATCCCAGTCTCCCTCCTCCGCACCTTCCTGTGTCTCCTCAACTCCTGGTGCCATCTTTCTCGTTGTTGTAGGGTCAGGGCTCGGACCGTGTTTCCCAACATGTTCCTGTGCTCTTTTTCCTGTAAAGTCAATCTACAATTACAGTGAGTCTCCTTTATCGGACAATTTACAATTCTCCTTTCAGTGCACAAGCCAGACATGCCCTTTCATCCCCTTTTCCTCTCACAAGCCTCATAACTAGGTCCTTTCTCCTCCACGAGACCCCGCCATCTACCTCCCAGCTGACTCAGTATCTTGGCCGATGCTGCAGGTGTTGGGACAGATGCTGGGAGGTCTGGGCTCGATTCGTGAGTTCATGTGTTCAAAAGCAGTCATAGGGTGCCGCGATTTCAAGGGGAGCTTGTTAGTGCCTGGTTCCGAGAGGAGTTCCTCCTCAACCTCCCAATGGTGAACCAGTTCCTTGGATTGATCTTCCCGTAGGCCATCATTTTTTGAGGGCTCTCAGGACCCCAGGCTGCTTATTGAGCAGTTCAAGGCCTATGCTTATGGCCTCGGGGCACATCCAGGGTGTGTTTTTGCATATGGATATTAACAGTTGGGGATTTTTAATCTTTTGGACATCGCTTAAATGTATTATTTTCAAGGATTATCTCCCCCACTGCAACTGTCCGGTTTATTGAATTTCCTGCTCACAAGAAGTCTGCAACTACTCCCTCCCCATACACACCTCACAACTCTAATACCTACACTAGCACCATGGACATACCATACATGCCACACATACCCAGCACCATGTATACCGGTATCACACGCCGCATACTCACCAGGCCGTGCTCACATACACACACCCCACACAAATTCACACTCACATGCAGTGCGACTCCTTCCCAGAGTCTCCCCTGGCTCGCTTGACTCTCAGCGCAGTGTGGGGCTGGCTTTGCATTCTGGGGGCTTGTTTACCTGCTCTTCCTGTCAACAGATGCTAACCATCTGTAGTGAGTATCTGGGTGTGCTCTGAGAAACACCATTTCTCAGTCCTGTGTGGCCCAGATGATTGAAACGATCAAGACCAGATAAGGCCCAGTAGTGTCTGTGTAGAAGGGTGAAATCCATCTGTCAAGTTTTCCATTTTGGAGCACCTTCTTTCAGATGCTCCCTCCAGGTCCCCGCTCCAGCACTTGGTCTGCACAGCAGGCCCCTTCCGTCTTTATAGCCCTGGGCTGTGGAACGCCTTCCAGCACACCCATGTTCTTTTCCACCAAGCCTGCAAGTTGCAGCTTCTGTTACGAGGACCATTTTAGAAAACAGCCTCCCCTGGTCACTAGGATAGAGGAACACCTGCTGCGGACTGTTCGGAGGGCTGAGCAGTGCTCCAGAACCACCCTGCTTCCAGCACACGGCACCCGCTCTGGGACTCCGTCCCTGGGAGCGTCTGCAGACGCGGGGAGCCTGGTGAGGACAGGACCAGAGTGCTTGGACCTGGGACTCTCCCTTACTCTGGCAGGGAAGGTACAGAGCTGCCTGGGCCTTGGGGTCATAGAAGGCCGGTTCTGGGATGCTGCTCTGCTCCTGCTGGTAAACAAGGGTAGATAAGAATGTGTTGGATGCAAGTTTCGAAAGAAAGACTTGATTATAACATGACTCCTCTCCTCCATTTCGTGTGTTTATTTTTAGCAGCTCTGTGGAGGTAGACTTCACATGCCATACATTTTAAGCACATGAGCCAATGATTTGTAGTAGATTTTCAGAGTTGTGCAACTATCACTATCCTCCAGTTTTAGAACATTTCCATTCACTCACAGGGACCCCTTTGGCCCTTTGCAGTTCACCCCGCAGTTTTTCTGGGTGACCAACTGTTTTCCCAGTTTTTAACCTAAAGAAAATGCCTGCCCCACCCCTTCACCGGTCACATACCTTTCAGTCTTCGAACCGCTTCATCATTTTTATCAACTCCTCTGAGATTTTTTACATTCTTTACGGTTATCTTGTTATTTAGACTCTACGGGTGCTCAAGGCAAAGGGAAGTTACATAGAGCTAATTCTTTCACAGAAATCCCCGAGAAAAGCTTTCTTCGACACAGTTTGTATTCGCACTTGATTTTCAAAAGACAGTGAGGCATCGGTGGAGGTGCTTTCTTAAAGATTTTGCAAATTTACAAATAAAAGTATTTTTAATGCAGTTTGTTCTGGACAGGTTCAGCAGCAGTTTGAAGAGGTGGGGTGAGCTGGAAAGACTGCTGTATGTTTGGGGCCCCTCTCATTCAGCTTCCATTTCAGTTGCTGCTGGTTTCTGTCACCCACGTAGGCATCTTCAAGAGCACCTGCTACATCGATGTGCGCTGGTTCCCCTTTGATGTGCAGCAGTGCAAGCTGAAGTTTGGGTCCTGGTCTTACGGAGGATGGTCCCTGGACCTCCAGATGCAGGAGGCAGATATCAGCAGCTACATCCCCAATGGAGAATGGGACCTTGTGGGTAAGTCCAGAAAAGACACCAGACTTGCTTCCTGGAATAAGCATAAGAATGTATGAGATTTTTTTTCTACTGCCTTTTCAGTGTGAGCATTTACTGAACTCGGAGATATTTACACCATCTACTCTTTTCTGATCAGAAACAAAAACAGTCAGCAAATGTAATCCTCTGCAGGAAAAACTGGAAGCACGGCGAGGACACCCTTAAATAAGTCTGTGCCAGTGGAGGCTTCCCTGCATTCTTGCGGCCCACACCACTCCTTGCACAGGGCTGGACGGCAAATCTCACTTGCTGTCATGAACTAAGAAAATCACGGATGAGGCTGAGATAAAGTAGAAACAGCTGTGTTTGGGCCTGAAACAGATTTCCAAATGAGGAGATGCACATTGAGGTAGTGCTGCTCCCAGGGGAGCCTGGCTTGGGGCTCTATGACAAGACATGGGCAGGTGGCTTAGTATTTGAGGGGGCCGATCAGTAGAACTGAAGTAAGTCTGATGGTTGGAAATGGATGCAAACCACACTGGTCACAAATTTCATAAGCCGTTCCAATGCCCAGGAAAGGAGGTAATTGCCCAGGAAACTGGTAATTCTGGCTTTTCTTAAAGCTTTCAACAAATTGTTAGATTCTGAAATTTTTGTTCCTTCTAGCAGATTTCGTTCTCTACGTGATATCTGAGTGGCAATCTACCCCCTGTCTGCAAGTCTGTAAAGCTAAGAAAGAGACTTTCATATCCCCTCTCTCCCATTCTGCAGCCATTTTGACTCATTTTATCAACAGGAAATCTATATTTCATTATTTTAAATGGAAAGACAATATAATCATAAGCTGCTTAAAGTCAGGCATGCGTTCTGCGAATATGGCATCATTGTGTGAACACCATATGTACTCACAGGAAACTAAGACAGCTAAGCAGGCCCTGGGTGACTTCACCCTATGGTCCTGACATCATATATTTGTTTCATCTTTGACACAAACCTTGTTTTGCCTCCCATGACTGCACTTACATTTATAATGGTATAAAATCGATGAGGTGTTATTTATAATCATGTATTTCCAATCCATCAAAAAATTATCTGCCAGTTTACTCTGGTGTCACTGATACCTTTAAACAACTGCATAACAACCCGGCAAGGGTTTATTCAAACACCAATTACCCAATTTTTAGAGCTTGGTGAACTCCGGGGCTGTACTTGTGCGTGGCATGTACACTGAGGCACACAGAGAAATCGTTGAAATTGAAAATGGCTCATTCCCACCGTCTCCCATGCAGGGGTCCCTGGGAAGAGGAGTGAGAAGTTCTACGAGTGTTGCAAAGAGCCGTACCCAGACGTCACGTACACGGTGACCATGCGCCGCAGGACGCTGTACTACGGGCTCAACCTGCTCATCCCTTGTGTGCTCATCTCAGCCCTGGCCCTGCTGGTGTTTCTGCTCCCCGCTGACTCCGGGGAGAAAATCTCCCTTGGCAAGTGCCTGAGTCTTTGTCAGGACTCCAGACGGAGGGCCCTTCCCCCAGATGAGCTCTGCCGGGTCACTGTCGCAGTGCAGAACTGGAGCAGGAGCCCAGGGCTTGCCTGCCTGGCTCATTCACACCGACCTTTTGGCACAGGCGGCTTTAGGACCCCAGAGGCTGTTGGTTCAGACTCTGAGCCATGGAGACATAACCTTCCTAGAGTGCTGCAGGATGTGGGATCCTCTGATCCCACAGAGAGGTAACACCCAGGTGTAGACTAGCTCACGCTGCCCTGAAAGGCCTGTGCTCTCTCTGACTGCCGCCTCTCTTGTTCCTCAAGGCACTGAATCAGCCTTTATCGTGCACAGGGAGCAGTTTTTAGCTCTTTCTCAGCTTGCCTTTGTATATCGCTGTGTACAGCGTAATCCCTAGAGTCGCTCACAGATGAAAATAAGTAGGATTTGGAATAGTGAAATGGATTTATCAGTATCTCAGAAAATGGCTAAATATATACATTTTTAGTGTATCATAGAAATCATTCCCAAGCTGTTTCTGCTCTAAATATGGGGCTCAGGATAGGAAACGACATACCCAAGGTCATACAGCTAGTAAGTAACTGTCAGATCCTGAAACCAGGTATTCTGACTGCGTGGTTTCTTTCTCCTGCTCTGTGAAACCACCACTCAGTGATAATGTGATCAGGAATTTGAGGGACACCTGTGCTGTGTTCATTCTTCCAAAGCTCTGGTTCCTAATCCTGTCTCTACCACAGATTCCTCTGGGACTCTGCCAAGTGACAGGGAATGCCCCCAGATAAACGCATGAACCCAAGCATTCAGAAACCCTGCATCCCATGGCCTCCCCCAGTACCTTCCTAGTTCTTTGAAGCTCAAGTGAGGAGCCCCAGTTAGATGGAATTTGGGCCTTGTAATTCGTTTTGTCTAAGGAACGTCTGTTTGTTTATGTTCCAGGGATTACAGTGTTACTCTCGCTCACTGTGTTCATGCTGCTTGTGGCCGAGATCATGCCTGCAACATCTGACTCAGTTCCACTGATAGGTAAGGCAAGAGTCAGGCTCCTTTCTTAAAGATATGGGGCTAAAGAGGACTAGGATTTCCGCAGCAGATGAAAGGAGGACAAACATGTTCTCCAGGGCCACGGAGAGCTGCATTCCCTTCCATTTCCCATCACGAGGAGATTATTGAGGTAACTATTCAGGCTGACCCATGTCCTCTTCTTGCCTGGGCCCGAGTAGGAGGGACGGGAGGTCCAGCTTTGCGGTGGGCCTTTAAATTGTGAAACTACCTGGGAGTGGTGGTGTCTACCTGTCATCTCAGTGCTCAGGAGGCTGAGACATGGAGAGCTCTTGGGCCTAGGACGGTGGAAACCCTATGGCACACGTGTTATTTGTTTTTCTTTTAAGACAAAAGATATTAGTGTATGAATTGTTTTTTTCTAAACTACAACTGCAGTATTCAGGTTTAATTGCGGTGTTGGCATTTGCAATAAGTGAGTTTGGGGTTGTAGTTTGGGGACTTATCTTTAAAAGAGTCACCATCACTGCCTCAGGAGTTTAACACCAGCCGGGGAAACAGTGAGACTGCAGCACCACCCCCCAAAAAATTACACAAGTGGCTCTTCCTCCCGTAATTCTCTCATCCATATTTGCTTTGCGGTCAAAGATTTTATGATTAGTGGTTAATAATTGTAGTTGAGGTAAATCTTCTGTTAAAATGGGAGGAGCACACACTTTATCCTTTAGCTCTTGGGTTCTGAGATATGTTTTACATGTTTGGAGAAATAGGAATGGAAGAAATGCATTTGGCCCAGGATGGTGATACGGCGTCGCCTCCCACCCAGGGAGGGACCACAGGAGACAGCATCACTTCCTGCTGTGCCTTCCTGGATGGGAATGAACGGGGTCATGCAAAGCAGGGCTGGGTCCAGCAGCGAGGGTCTGACACGCTCCCCGTTTCAGCCGGCGTTCCCTTCCTGATCGTGAGAGCCAGGTCTGTAGGCCAGTTGTTAGGATGGGAAGCATCATTCTCTCAGTGGCTGTTTGGTTCAATATAGGAGTTGCCATGCTCATTTGGTGGCAGAAAGTCAGGTCCTTTCAACTCCGGGCCACCCCTTTGCTCCAGGAGTGTGAATGCTCCAGCAGGAAGCAGTCCAGTCCCGGGTGTCGGCATGACCAGCTCCGGGACGTGCCAGCGGAACAAGGTCCAGATGCACTGGCCCCGTGATGTCTGGTGCCACCGAAGCACCGTCTCACTCGCATCTGCTGTCTTTGCAGCTCAGTACTTTGCCAGCACTATGATCATCGTGGGCCTCTCAGTTGTGGTGACAGTGATCGTGCTGCAGTACCACCATCACGACCCCGACGGAGGCAAGATGCCCAAGTGGGTACGTTCCTCCCGTAGTCAGAGGCCCTTCCTAAAGGGGTGTTCTCCTGTGGTTTATCTATTTTAAAAATCACACAGAAGCTGACACTCTGAAACAGATGGCATGGTTTTTCACAGGACTTCACCTCTCTCCGTGCCTTTGCCGAGAGAGCAGTTAGGGGGAGCTCCTTGGTTCTCCTGCCACGGCAGTGTTTGCATCTGACATCTCAGAGCACAGCTCGCGCACCAGCTGCTGTGTGTGCTTCACTAGCACAGTTTTTTGTAAAACCGTTCCTTCGCGCACGCGGTACACCGCTGTGCAGTAGTGGGAAGGAAGAGGAGGGAAATGCATAACACAGGGTTGGAGCCTCACAACAAAATGAACAGAAAAAGTAAGGAGCAGACTGAGCTGTGCAAAAATAGAGCAATCCCTCGGTATCTGCAGGGAACTGGGTCCAAGGCCCCCTGCAAACACCAAAACCTGCAAGTGCCCAAGGTCCGTATATAAAGTGAGACGACAGCACAGAACCTGTGCGTAGCCTCCTGAGTACTTTAAATCATCTCTTGTTCACTTTTTACAGTACCTAGTATAATGGAAGTGCTGTGTAAATAGTTACGCTCTGCTGTTTAGGAAATACTACAGAAAATGTCTGTAGTCCTCCAGTACAAACGCAGTCTATTTTCCCTGAGTATTCTTCAGTGTATGGTGGGTTGAGTCCATGGATGCACAACCTGAGCGTGTGGATGGCCAGGTGTAGTGCACTCAGTACACACAGGAGTGTGATCTCAGCCAAAGCCCATAATGCAAAGATGGGTGGTCACCAGCCGGGAAGGGAAAAGGGATGCAGGACATGGATGATAAAGTATAGGACGAGTCCCCCAGCCTGTGATTTCAGCAGCAGCCAGCCTCCCCTTCCCCACGGCACACTGGCCCTGTCTGCTGATGCTCACCCACCCACACCATCTCCTGTCACGGGACTGTGTCACAAGCGCCGTGTCCGCCGGGATTAACGGTCAGGGGATCTTGAGACCAAGCCAGATCCTGGACTTTGTCCATCTCACAAGGACAGAACCACGGAGGGGAGAGCTGCCTTACCTCCCTGCAGGCTTCCCAGGTCTTCCTGTTCAGGGCGTGTAGTCTCGGGATGGAAAAAGCCCTCGCATCCCGGAGATGCCTGTCTTTGGAGACCTGTTAGGTTATATCAGAGCCCAGAAGCGATCGCCAGCGTGCTAAGTTCAGAACAAGGAGTGAGGTGCACGGAAAGACCCTGCCGGAGCAGAGGGTTTCTGAGCCTCGTAACAACGTTCATTATGCAGTACTTTATAGTTACGCAAAAGTTAACTCAGGAGCACTTTAAAAAATCACTTTAAAAAGTCAGCCTTACAAATTTCCTGTTTGCCCTCAGAACTTTTCCATGCCCCTCCCTCCGCACACTTAAAATAACTCACCTTGAGCTCAAGGCACCCGCAGCGGTGCCAGCTCAGCCTGAGTGGTGATGCCGTACGCGCGGTTGACATCGCTGTTGTCCCTGACAAGTCCCAGACCCCTTGAAAACCTGCAGTACATTTGTATAACTCATTTACATTCATGTCTCTTTTCTAACCTTGACACACTTGGGCGCAGTGCCGGGCCAGGTGTGAGAACCAGTGCCTTGTTCATTTGCATGTGTTCACTCATCTGTGTGTGCGAAACAGATATTCTTACCTGTCTCTAAAGCCAGAGGAAAGAGAATGTACATAAGGAAATCTGGCTTCCCCCACCAATACTGATAACCATTCCAGTGAATTCCTCCTTTCCCCCCCACTCCCCTGCTGTTGAGTATTTATATGTATACAAAAGCATAAACAAAGTATTTTGAATGATGTGAAGATAAGGCAATTACAACAGATGCAAAACCATTTTTAATGACCTGGTAGACTTTATCTTCCAAAAAAATCTTAATTGAAAGCAAATGCTAATGGTTCACTTCGCAGCATAAAAGCTTGTTAAAACCGATTGCCTGTAAATAAAATGCAAAGTATACATATCTCCCTCATTTCATACAGCACAGTGCGTTTTTCTTAAGTTCCATGTATATTTGAAACATAAACAGCCTCCAAGGGGCTTTTACTGTGATCCATTGCGGTGAAGAAGATACTGCCGAGTGCAGTGGCATTATGTGACATTTGCACAGCCAGAAACAAAACTATAGCCTCACAGGAGAGGTCACAAGCACAGTTTGGTAAGTGCCAAAAGAATCATTCCATCTTTGGAGAGGCTTTGGCCTTGAAAGCTAATGACTCAGGCCGTGGAACTCGAAATGGACTTGGCGAAGTGGACTTCCGTCACTGGAGATGTCCCTCAGGCCCATGCGTATCCCACCACTGTGGGAAAAGTACCGGACCCTGCTCAGCCTTTGTTTGCACAGGTGTTTCTGGGTCCAGACTCACGCCCTGTCCCACAGCCTCCCCCGAGATCTGGAGGGGACTTCTGGGGTCTCAGAGAGGGTGTAGGGCTCAGTCACAGGAGCTTTGAAAGGAAATAGACAAGCTGTGAAAGTCTAAACACAGAAGTAAGTGACTTTACTCCATGATCACTACATGAATGACGGTCACCCAATTTCTTAGCCTCTTCAGGGGTCAGTTTATTTGTCTGTAAGATGGGAGAATTATTCCCACTTTATAGAACCCTTACTGGTCCCGGTGAGAGGACACGTCTCATGAAAACCAAACTCACGGGATGAGGTTTCACCACAACCTGTGGCACTGCTTTTTACTGATTCTGAAAACCCCTCCAGATGGACAGCTGCCCGCAGGGTAGAGTAAGAACACTGAAGCCAGGGGCTGTCTCTGCAGCTGCCCGGAAGCTAGTGGTAGTGATCTTCCATGCTTTCTTCGCTCTCTGTCTCCAGCCTTGTTTGCTTCAGTTATCTTTGATAAGATGTCATAAAAGTGATTGCCAAGACAGAAAGCCCTGCAGACGTGAACTTCACAGCTTATCTCTCCCTACAGGCGGGAAGTATACCTGCTAGGTGGTTGATGACATTTTGCCATAATCGTAAAACAAAATGAAAATGAAATCAGTATCTGGATGATTTCAGGGAAAGGGCTCACTTCACACACATGTATATGGATAGAGTTGCAAGAATTTTTTTCTCCCCTCAGTTGAAGTGGGGGCTGTCTCTTTTCTTTCCATAAAGGCACAAATAATATACACTCACAGGCTGGTTTTTCAGCAGCTTTTTCATGCCTGCAGGCACTATAGATTTACCCTTGATCTTACCCAAAAGGCCAAGAAGCAATCATGTAATTTATAAAACACTTTGGACCAGAGGTGGCAAGCTGTGGCCCTGGTGGCCAGATGTAATCCAGGTTTTATAAATCAAATGTGATTAGAAAACTGCCACTTACATGCCTTCTGTGGGTGCTGTGTCAGCAAGTTGAGTTCTGAAAACAGAGACTTTATGGCCTAAGGCGCTAAAAATATTTGCTGTGGTACCATGTACGGGAAGTTTTGACTTTGCAGAGCACTTTCCAGGACACCGTGATCTTGGGGCTTTGCTTCAGCCGAATGAGTGAGTGAGGTTGGAGGTTCTGAGGCCCACAGTTCATAGCACACTTGTGTCTCAAGAGTTTTTTCACAGAGCTCCTAGTCCCAAAGAAATAATAGCGAAAGGTCTCCTTAGTCCGCAGGTTAAAACGGCTTCATAAATATCCGTGCCTTAGCGTCACCATAGCACCTAAGCCCTCTCCCCGACAGAGCTGTTTTTGTCCTGCCCCAGGGGAAACTTCATGTCATTCCCAGGGTGGTGCACATGCGTAGGTCTCATGCTCGTGTCATATTTGACTCAAGCATCGCTAAGGATTTGGCGTTGCCTACCTGCGCAAAGCTAGGGGAGGGCAGTGGAGCCTGTGAGCCCCAGCATCGCCGGTGACCACTCACGGGCCTCTGAACCTTCTGTTGTCCCCCAGACCAGAGTCATCCTGCTGAACTGGTGCGCGTGGTTCCTGCGCATGAAGAGGCCGGGGGAGGACAAGGTCCGGCCCGCTTGCCAGCACAAGCCGCGCCGCTGCAGCCTCGCCAGCATGGAGCTGAGCGCTGGGCCAGCGCCTCCGGCCAGCAACGGCAACCTGCTGTACATCGGCTTCCGTGGCCTGGAGGGTGTGCACTGCGCCCCCACCCCAGACTCAGGGGTCGTGTGCGGCCGCATGGCCTGCTCCCCCACGCACGACGAGCACCTGCTGCACACCGGCCAGCACCCTGAGGGGGACCCAGACCTGGCCAAGATCCTGGAGGAGGTCCGCTACATCGCCAACCGCTTCCGCTGCCAGGATGAGAGCGAGGCCGTGTGCAGCGAGTGGAAGTTCGCGGCCTGCGTGGTGGACCGCCTGTGCCTCATGGCCTTCTCGGTCTTTACCATCATCTGCACCATCGGCATCCTCATGTCCGCTCCAAACTTTGTGGAGGCTGTGTCTAAAGACTTCGCCTGATGTCAGCAGGCTGCACACATAGGAGCCACAGAGAGAGAGGCGGGCCTGTTGGGTGCGTGAGAATTCGGGGTGCTGCCCCAATAGCAGCGTTAATGGGATGACTCCGTGTGTCTTGTGATGGACCATCCTGATGGCTACAGTTTTCTTGTTGTTTCAGTAACAGCATCTGAGCAGCTTTCTCTTTAATCCCTTTCTCACTCACACGTACCATGGCACACCCTTACAGTCAGCGGGGCCATTAAACGGCCACTTCGCCCGTCTGACCACTTTCTGGAGAGCCCTGCAAGGAGGTTTCTGTAGCTCCAGACTGCCAGGGAAGGCCGCACCGTTGGGTCTGCATGCTTGCATGCCACTTGCCAGTAAGGCCCACGTGGAGACACACTGTATGCTTTTTGCCTGTGTACAAACCTAGACTGAAACAAATAATGAACCACACTCACTAAATCCATTTCAGCAATTGACTTGTAAAAAGAAAAATAACAGCAAAGAACTAGAAGCTTAACTGTTATTTTTCTGCAATTCAACTTTTTCTCTCCTCTACCAAGCATAGTTGGTAGAGAAAACAGTTTTTTGTCATTGCTATCTGAGAGAATTGTTCATTCTGTAAACCCACATCTATCAAGGGCTGCAGGGCCTCAGTTCTAAACCAGGACCAGCCCCAGCAGCATACGTATGTGTGGGGTAGTGTGAGCCGTGTCCCCTTAGTTCCCAGATAACTCCCAGGCTTCTTGTGTTGCCCTAGACATGGAGGAGTTAAGCAAATCTGTTGTGTTCTGCAGAGGACAAAGAGAGATCTACGAGAATTACCAGGCCCGAGGAATAACAAAAATTAACTTCAGCCACTCATGTGGTTTTTGGAAAGCGTGCACTAGGTGCTTCATGTGGATTAGAGCCGATTAGTCTTAGGAATGTGTCCATCCGTATAAATGTATACACTAAACGTGTTCCCTGGCTTTTCCTCCATGCGGGGCCAGGAGTTAGGGACCGGAACCTGTCTGGGCCCCCTCATGGCAGGGACTGGGGAGGCATGGTGCAGCTGCTGGCTTTCCTAGACGCGGGACCAGTGGCAGTCAGCAGGCAGACCTCCAGAGGCTGCACGGCCGAATCCCAGTTTGTAGCTTTTCTGTCTGCTCCCAGCTTGTTCATCCCAGCGGCAGCCAAGAAAGTGGGCTTGGGTTCAATGGGAGGATTCATTGGAGATGTTTAATTTTAAAATCTAATGCTCCACTTCGGTTATCTAGACGGAAGTCATTTTGCCTCTCTCCATTCTTATTTTTAATGAGGTCAGAGGGTAGTGCATGCATCTCTTCAGTTTTTAGACTGCAGAGCTATACAAGGCTTTAAGCTCCTGGAGTTCCTTAGTCTGTTCCTGACCCTTGAGATGGGCTCATCATGAGGAAAGATTAGATTTTTCAGAGCAAAATAAAACACTTATAAACACTTTCCCAGCCACCCATTTCACTCTTTTCTGGGTAATGCCCATGAATTCACTTGTGCTGGAGGAAGATGAAGGCTTGGGTGTGCACGTGTGTATGCGTGTGTGCATGCGTGTGCACAGGTGCCTGCGTGTGTGAACTAGGAGCACAGACGTTGCTTACAACAACAAGGTTGATAAAGCAGGAATTTTGTAGCATCGAGCCACGTGGGACGAGGTCATCCTCAGAGTCTACCCACTCTACATGGACTAGATAAATGATGCATGAAATTTCCTGGGGTTGTTTCTTTCTGTTTAAGCATCTTTAGAAACAAAAAGAAGTGTTTTGCTATGTAAAGAGAATGCTTCACTTCTTATTGTTAACCCCAAATTGACCCCTACCACATTTTTTGCTTTAAGAAAGAGGAAATCTTTTTGGTTTTGTATTTTATATGGAAAAACATAAAAGGCAAATAAAAATAGTTCATGTTTTGACCATCCAAGTAGCCATTATATGATTTATGAAAATGAGAAGGAATAGCTGTGCATATAGTTAGAAACGTGTGAATGTTAAACTAGCCTCGCTGACTCCCCTGTCTCTCTCCCTTCGGGGCCCCACTGAGAAGCTTGTGGGGCTTTTCCAGAAGGAAGGGAGGGAGATGAAGTTCCTGTGGGGGACGTGGAGAGAGATTGCTTCTCTAGAACTCATGCTGTGTAAAGCATTCTCCACCTGGTGTTTTATTTTAGAGATCTTTCTATAATAATGTATAAAGATCTACCTCATTTCTCTTAATAGCTGCTTAGTATACCATTGCCTCTGGACTATAATTTATTTGATTAGTCTTTTATTGAACATATAGAAATTTCCAGTTTTTACTTTTATATACAAATCTGTAATTAGCATCCCTGTGCATATATCTTGGCACACTTTTGTGACTATGTCTTGGTATAAATTCCAATTTAGAAATGGAATTGCTGGATATAAAGCTATGCACTTAAAAATTGGATAAATATTGCTATATTATCCTCTAGAAAGTGACTATTGATACCCCCACCAAAAGTACAGTAAAAGAGCCAGATTCTCTGCTTTCTAGAGCTATATAGTTCCAAATTTAATTTATCTTTCTAATCTGATTGATGAAAAATATGTTGCAATATTACTCTGATTTTGGTTCATTTTACTATGAGTGAAGTTAACCATCTTTTTGAATTTGTTTGGCAATTTCAATTTTTGTAAATTTATATCTTTCATACAGTTTTCAGTTGGGTTCTTTGCCTTTTTTCTTAATTTATTTGCTTATGCACATTGGAACCTTTCTGTTTTATGTCTTAAAATATTTTTATTCATTTACCATTTGTCTTTTGATGTTACTTATTGATTTACTTGTTTATTGGCATACAGAAAGTTTAAAATTTTATGTTGTCAATATTTTGTATTTTCCTTTGTAGATCCTGGGATTTAGTTCTAATTTTTAAAAAGGTTCTTCCCCATTTTGAGATTATAAATAAATTTATTTATATTTTTTATGTTATATGGGTTCCTTTGTTTATTTATAAAAGTATAAACCTTTTGACTTCCTGGGATTTATTTATTGGAAGAAATGATTAGAGGTTTAATTTTGTTCCTCCAAACTGTGGTCAGTAGCTCCCGTTAAATATATAGTACTTTTCTGTAATAAAATAATAATCCCCCACTTGTTTAAAATGCCCCTTATTTGTAAACTGAGTTTTTTGGGGGGGTCTATTCTGTTCTATTGATTTATATTTCTCAGACTACATTTAATTTCTCATGGTTTGTTTGTTTGTTTATTTATTTTGTCTTTTTGGGACAAGGTTTCACTATGAAGTTCAGGCTGGCCTTGAACTTATTTTATAGCCTACACTACCCTAGAACTCACAGTGATCCTCCTGCCTCACCCTCCCGCCTGCTGGAATTAATAGGCATGCACCACCATACCCAGCCTCTCATGGTTTATTTATGTCAGTATCAGTATTTTCAAACCAACACTCCCCTCAACTTCCTCTATATCTCTCTTTCTCTCTGTTATATTGCTTTTCTAAATAAAATAAGCATCCAGTGAATTCACAGAGTAATAGAGTCTTTCTGTTCAGGAACATTGCAATCTACGCTTGTGTGCCCGTATAATTTTATGTCACTCAGTATTTTGGGTGTGTACAACAGGTCCAGTGAATTATTTATATTTTGTCATTTGGCTACCATTTTTAGTGGACGTATTTATTCTATTTTGTTCTAGGTGTACATATATGAATGTATTGGGGCTTTGTATACTAATGTCAAAACCAAATACCAAAACCGTGAGTTCTTATTGTTTTTAAGATTTTTCTCTTGCCTCCTTCCCAATATTCCCTTTATTTCTCTATTCTATTGCATTTGAAAATATTAATAATAACTCATGTGGCACACTTGTCTTGTTCTTAACATTGATGAGATGTTTTATTGTCTCACAGTTTTACTTGTATGAAGACATGTATTTTCCTTGTCGTAATAAAAAGTACCTATGTCTTCTCTCAAATTATTTCTGTTCTCTGGGAAAAATATGGATGTGAGATTTCATCAGAGTCTCTCAGTACCCATGGAGATGATCAAAAACTTTAGTCCTTCACTGTACAAAACTGTTTTATGCTGTTAATAGAATCCTTAAGACTAAAGCATTATTACATTCCTAAGGCGATTCCTGCTTGGTCTTATGATTTTTGTTCTCAATATTCATAATTAAGATTAATCATTCTATAGCTTGCTTTTGTATGCATCTGTGGATTTAACCAGCAGCACATGACAAACATTGGAAAAAAGTTACATCCGTACTGAACATACACAGAATTTTTTCTTGTCATTATTCTCTAAACAATAAATGTCACAGCTATATAGCATTTATAGCATATTAGGTATTACAAATAAGATGGCTTAAAGTAAACTAGAGGATGTGTTAGGTAGTATGCAAATAGTGTGCCATTTTATATGAGGAACTTGAACACCCTCAAATTTTAGTATCCATGAGATGGTTCTAAAATCATCTACTTCATTTAGAAAGATCTGGGAGCTGTTAGGTCAGCTCTGTTATGCTTCTGAATTTCTCCTATTAGGCAGATTTGGTCCTCTAGCACATCTGGAATCAATTTTAGTTTCTTATTTTTTAATAAGATTAATTGCATTAACTATTCAACATTACTACACGATTTTGCAGTATAAATGTTAGGATTTTAACTCTTTCAATATTTGTGGTGATTTCTTTTTTCACTTCAATTGTTGTGTGTATTTCTCCTTTCTTCTTCTGTGTTTATTGATTTTTTGAACACCGCATCCTTCTACTTAGTCTGGAGATCTAGCCGTGGGGTCCTGTTGGCCCTTGAGCTGACCCAGCCTTTCTTATGTCGGCAGGAGGCAGGACAGTGCCAGCCACGGAGGCTGGATCTGGTACCACCGTCATCCAGCTGGTGCTCGGGGCTGGAGACCCAGGGTGGCAAGCCAGGCAGGACAGCAGAGCTGCTTGTGAGATGCAGCTAGCGCTTCCACACACTGTGATCGCGGTTGGAGAACAGACCGACAGAAAATTTCACCAGAAGCTCTCTAGAGATGCAGGCCTTGGGAAGTAGCCTCACAGAATTTCTTATGTGGTTTAATTTGCCTTCCTTGTTTCTTACACAGCCATTCCTCATCCTCCCTAGGTCTTGCTGTAAGTGTCACCTACTTCCCCACTGCTAGCTCACTTTCTCATCACTGTTTATTTCATTTTTGTATAGGTTTACCTTTCTAATAAATGTATTTTGAGTTAGGGAAGGAGCCTCAAAAACCATTGCTTTCCTTTTGGTTTGGCTTCCATTTTCTGTATATATTTAATATATACCAGACTTTGCTTCTATTTTAAATCTGTATCTTGAATCCTGCTTTCAGGCCGGGCCCACCGGCTGCCTTTTCGGTCAAGACTCTGAGTGCGTCCCGGCCGGCTGTCTGCAGAGAGCAAGCTGTGTCTCTTCTGTACCTCACGAAACGCTCTGGGCTTCAGGTGGCAGGGTGTGTCCATGCCAACCAGTACTGGGACATCCGCTGTGTGACCTCACAACTTCGTTCGTTTCTGACACCAGCCGCCCAGGGTTAGGGCAGGCTGCGTGGGTTAAGGGCTCAGTCCTACAACACAGCCTGTGCCGCCTTTCAAAACCAAGTGGTGGCCGAATGTGGGGGCACCCTCCTGGAATCCCAGCTACTCAGACTAGTTCAGAGTCAGCCTTTCTCAAAATTAAAAACTTGAAAGCTGTAGAGATATTTCTCATTGTTTCCTGGGTTTAATCCCCAGTTCCACAAAAAAAAAAAAAGAAAGAAAGAAAATAACTAGTGGTCCCGGCTACCCACAACTCCGTCAGACTTGGGTTTAATCATTTGCTACACCAGTTCAAAGAACTCAGGGAAACACTTTACTTAGGGTCACAGACATTCTCTGTTTAACAGCCGAGTTGCATTCCTGCAACTAGGTCCTTAAATGACTTTGTCACTAAGTGAAGATAGTATAGAGTGCGTACATTGCAATATTCAGAACAAAGAAATAGTTGAAGGAATCTCCAATTTGATGACTTTGCTTTTATTTGCATAACCCTTACATGCAGTAGTGTAATGTACAACATAAAACTACACTAGTACAGTACAATCAGCAAAAATTATTCTGGGCAGCTTTGTTGAAGATAACGATATGTAACATAGCCGCCATTGTTAATTTCTATCATTTTGCTTTAAAAACCTGTATCATTTTTATTGTTTTTGTGTTGTTTTGTTTTTGTCTTTGTTGTTATTTTTTTATTCTCTTTGAAATAAAAAAATTACAGAACTATATAAACGAAGTGTACTGTCCAAAAAAGACATTGAGGCTCTTTAAACAAGATGTACAGAACCATACCCTAAAAAAGGAAGGTCACAACTCTGAGTGACAGTTTGTGAGTCTGAACAGTGCTTAAACAAGTAAGTCATTAAAGAAGGAATGTCTGTATTCATTTATTACTGAGGCTCCAGCTAGTAGTTACACACCATGGAATGGCCCAAGGGGAGGAGTGCGGTCGGGGGATGTATGGGGTTTCCATGCCCCTCTGACTGCAGCAGCCTCCCAGCACCCCTGAGTGTTCAGTGACCCAGAAGCTCCCAAAACCTGTCCCTCAGGTATTTTATGCGGGTTCAGTATATAAGAACGACTGATTACTAACTCAATCTCCAGCTCCCTTCCTCTTCTTGGGGGATGGGATGGGCCAGAAAGTCCCAAGCTTCTGATCACAGCTTGGTCTCTCCGGAGACCTGCCCCCACCCAGGAGCCCACCAAAAGCTGCCTCATTAGAGCAAAAAATGGGGATTAGGAGCCCTGTGCCAGGAACGAGGTCAGTGACAGCATACAAGAACAGAAGATCCTCCTGGGACCCTACTAGCTCAGGAAACTGCAAGAATTTTAGAGCTTCATGGGTTAAGGGACAGAGCTTATTTTATAATTCTATTTTTATTC